TTAGGTAATTTTTATCGAAGCGCTTAAGTAATACTTTTGGTAAAATAACAATAAAATATAGCTTTATGATACGTTACAAAGTTTGGTAAATGGGCTAAAATTTGTTAATATTATCATGATACAATAGAGCACGGCATAAAACCCATTTATTTGGTTGTATTTACTTTTAATTTTTGTATTTTTCACTAAATGTCTGGTAATAAGGTATATAATTTTGATTTCCAGAATTTTTGGTAATCCATTACCACATTGTCGGATAAATTACCAAATGAAAGGTTGAAATATAGAATGATTTTTACAGAATTATGTTTTTTTTTACCTGAAATGTCATTATTATGGAGTAATTTTACCAGAAAGTTTTCTTCTAGAGAAAATTACAAAATTTCTTTACTTGAAATAAATATTTGTTATCTATCTACTCTTTTCTATTTTAAATGAGTAATTTCTATTTATTAATCAGTTTTCAAGTACATTAACTCATCTACAGAGCTTTAAAATTTCATTCATTTTAATTTTAAAAAAAAATAAAAGGCCATTTTTGCTAAATTTGTCATTTTGTCATTTAGTATAACATTAAGATACCTGTAAATTTGAAAAATATTTGAACTAAGTAAATTTCCATGGAAACTTCAAAAAGAAACTAATTTTGAAATCAGAATATTATAATTTTTTTGCTGGATTGTACAAAAGTACAAAATTTGTTAGAGTATATTCTTAAATTTAAAAGTAAAACTCGTACCCATTAAGAGTCTATGAGTTAATGAAACGCATTCTGTACTAACCTGCATGATTACAATGTGGGATTTTGAAGTTGCACTTCAAAAATAAATAAAAAAAAAAATCTAAAAAACCAACCTAGAAAACTTTTTTTTAAACTAGAAAAAAATAAGTTTTTATTAAAGTGAAAACAGAACATTATTTGTTTAGAGAAATAATACCCATTCTATTTTAGCCAATTCCGCTGGTTCACAACTGTTAGTTTTCATCTATTCTAAAGTATAAGACGCATGTGAAGTAAATTTATTCAAATTTAGATTATGTTCTAAAATCTCTAAAAAAGAGTAAACAGTAAAAGCATGGAGAAGTTTAATTTCATATCAATGATTTAATATTTGTTACGTTTATAAGGAAGATATATAAACAAAAAATAAAAAATACCTCACTAATTGCAAAAAGGTTTTATCCTTTTAAGTCATTTATACAGTATTAAAAATTCCCGATCAAATTACGGTTAAAAATACCGGCACTCAGGGTGCCGGTGCATTTTACCGGAGCATGTTACGGAATAAAAAATCTGATGCACCGTAATTTTTACAGTAATAATTACCGTAAAATGACTGAATAATTGCCATAAAATCACTTAAATAAATATTACTGTAAAAATTACGGTATGATATTTTACGGTATAATTTATTTTACGGATCGTGCACTCAAATTTTGAAACTTTAATTACTTAATTAAAAGTAATACTAGATAAATCTGGTTTTACTAGTACTAACTGAAAGCTTTAGTACTTTAGCAGCATTTTCTTTTGGTATACCTTCTTGATAATTTAAATAATTCCGCAATAAAAGGGAATATCAAAAAGAAATTCTCTCGGATTTAAATTTAAAGCTTTGCTTAAGGCATTAAGTGAAAACTAAAATTTTCTCCGAAATGGGAAATGCTATAATGAACAAGCCTTAAAATAAAATTCACAAAACATGGAAAACCTCTCAGATCACACAAATAAGCTAAGGAACTGATGCCAATTGAGATTGAAGTTTACCCAGTTACGTATAATTTGTCACTGCTCAGCAATATTCTTCCCTTCTTTAATTAAATAAAAAATATTTTTTTTTCTTAAGTGCCATTTCAAGCAGTCTTATAGAACATGTAGTGGAGGTACTTCAAACTCTTAAGAAGTAATATTGGCTGTAATAAAGAAGAATATATAAGCAACACTATTTAGTTAAATGTATATTGCATTAAAATAACATATTAATACAGAGAATTTTTAATAAATTGGTATTCTTCACAATATTCTAGCAACTCGAAGGCTTTCAAAAAGTACTATTTCTTTCCTTCACAAATTATCAGGATTTTTCTTAAAACTTTTTAAAATATGAAAGCTATGTTTGCGCGTATGCTGTCTACTTGCCTGTATAAATTGCTTATTTCATACTTAAAAATATTCGAAAACTATTTATTAAAATTCTCTTTTTTTTTTACAATAAAACGTACCAACTACTTTCAAAAATCAAGGAATTTAGGGTACTGAGACAATGGTTAGAGAATCGGATTCCGGTTCGGAGGGATCCGGTTCCGGTTCGGATTCGTCTTCGACTCCTCTAAGACCCACCGTGTACATGCGATACACGTATTCGCAAAATGCGTGTAAGTCCTGTGGTAGGTCGCTGACCAGTACCATAGGTACATAGATCTGGAGAAATTTTCCTTCCTTTTCAGACTTGTGTCTAAACTGAAGAAGTGGCTACACGAATGAGTGATGCTGCCATTTATGCATGGGGCTCTGAGCTGAGATGTACTTACACCCTTGCGGTGCTCCTTTGTCAAACAAAAAGCGCATATTCTCTTGGCCAATGACATACGAACCTGGCTTGTCTAAGGGTCACTGGAAACAACAACAACAGAAAATATTTTTTTATTATTTGTATATTGAACGGAAATCATTAAAATATACGCATGCATGATTTTATGCTTGCATATATTTATGTTTAGAATTGATTTCTACTTGAAAATAATTAACCAAAAAATCTCCTGCATTAATCATGCACACAGAAATTTATTAATAAAATTTTATTTGCGAAGTGCACAAAAAAAACCGGAGCAAGTTAATAAATTTCCATATTAAGTTGATTTGCTAATTATTCTATTTTCTCCACTCCCATTACTGAAGATAGCCTCAATTTTGTTACATCATTGTAACTATTTAAGTGAATGAAAAGACTTTTGTGTACAATAATAAAATTTATTTATCGAAATAAAATTTCATCCAAGCATTTTACAGTTTTTCATACTTTTTTATAGTGAAATTTAATAGTAGTATTAAATTTACTTAAAATGTAAAGCACACAAATTTATTCAGAATTTCAAATTATGTATTTTGGTATGACAAATTCCAAAATTTGAACGCAATCGTTTGAATATTTCATGAGAAATGAAAATTTTAAATTACCATTTTCTTAAAATTTTATTACTTAAAAACTAGTTAGCTTTTTTCTCTCAAATTATGTATTTCGTCATTTAAAATTATAAAGTTTAAAAGTAAATCAAAATCCATATGCCTAAAAATTTAAAGTTTTTTTGATCTCTAAGGAAATTTTTGATTAAATAATAAGTAATGTTAAAAAAAATAATAAGTAGCTACTGCTAAAAAAAATATAAATAATCTTTAAAAAAATTTACATTCCTTATAATGAACGGTATAGACCAGCTTTCTTTTATTTGTTTGAATCGTTTCAGAGAGCCTTACTACCGCTCTCTTAAACTAAACAATTATACTTTGTAATCATATATGTTTTAATTTCTCATTTAAAAACTTTGATTACGACAAGTTTTGACTAAAGATCAATTTCTTTATTAGTCCCCCAACCAACTAATTATAAATGCAAATCTATTTTTTTTAATAAAAATCATCTATTCATGATAAATTTAGTAACCATTGATTTATAACAATTTTAATTATTGATAGAAATTTATTAATGAATAACAATTTATTTATTGATAGTAACTTATTTATGGATAATAATTTATTTATTGATGGCAATTATTTATGGTAATTATTGATAATGCTTTTAAGAACTAAGGTAGGTACTTGTTTAATTTCCTATAAACAGCTTCTTTTTAATAATTTATTTAGTAATAATTTTACTCCTTCAGTTTAAAGATATTTTTTTCTTCCTTTTTTTATATTTTTGCTTACTATATGGGGCTCTATATACTTGCAGCTTATGCGCAGTGAAGAAGACTTATTATTTTGTTTCTTAATTTTCTATATTTATCNAATTATTAAGAAGCAACTTGAATTGTTAAGTCTGCACAAACGAAATATTTTATAATATATATATATGAAATAATTAATCATAACAATATATATATATACAGTGGTGGCCAAAAGTGTGGACATTTTCTGAAAGTTTCTTGCTTTTCAACTTTGTGTGCTTGTGGAACATATTAATTTTCACTTAAATACAAACGTTTATATATCAAATTGAAGGTGATTTAATGTAAAATTTAATAATAAATACAGTATTGCGATATCTGTATTACAAAAAAAGTTATGCAACTAATAGCAAGATCTATCTTAGATTTGCATTTTTTTTAAGGTGATACTTACACAATCAATATTTAGTAGGATAACCCATATCTTTTAAAACAGCTTCACAGCGTCTTTTCATCGAGTGAACGTGTGTTTGGAGTTCATTTTTCGTAATCACATGGTGACAAGAATCAATTATAGCTTCAATAAGTTGTCTTTTATTTGATGGACATTTTTTTCGTTCAAGAATTTTCAAACATCGCCACAAATTTTCAATTAGATTGAGATCAGGGCTATTTCCCGGCCATGGAACTAATTGGACATCTACAAAAAGAAGCCGAATTGTCATATTGAGAGCAAATGGCCACTCTTATGCTGAAATTGCAAGACAAGTTGGTGGTTCAGTGACTTGTTCTGGTGCACAAAAATTCTGTTTTTGTTATGAAAAAGCGAACGAGAAACGAACAGTCAAATCAGGCCGAAAAAAATGCACAAGTGCTACTGCCGATAGAAAAATTAAACGGCTATGCCTTCAAGATAGAAAAATTTCATCAGATGACATTAGATGTGAAATGAATGCAGCGGGTATTGCAGTAAGTTCAAGAACAATAAGAAGAAGGTTATCAGGATTTGGACTACAAACTAGAATTCCAAGGACAAAACCATATTTAATGGTCAGAAAATCAATGGAAGCAAGTAATCTGGAGCGATGAGAGTAAAATATCGCTCTTTGGTAGTGATGGTTAGAAAATACGTGAGACGTAGAGTAGGTGAAGCACTTCATCCTGATTGCATTGAAGCAACTACGAAAGACCCAACAAATGTCATGATTTGGGCATGTATGTCTGCAGATGGTGTGTGTCGAATTCAAGTGATTGGTGGCATCCTGAATGCCAAAAAATACATCGAAACTGTCCTGAAACCAAAAGTGATACCTTCTATCAGGGATCTCTTGCCCAACAGCGCACCATTTATTTTTCAGCGGGATTCAGCTCAATGCCACACAACAAACGTATGCAATGTATGGTTTCAAAATAAAGGCATATATATATTACCATGGCCAGGAAACAGCCCTGATCTCAATCCAATTGAAAATTTGTGGCGACGTTTGAAAATTCTTGAACTAAAAAACGTCCATCCAATAAAAGACAACTTATTGAAGCTATAATTGATTCTTGGCACTATGTGATTACGAAAGATGAACTCCAAACACTCGTTCACTCGATGAAAAAACGCTGTTAAGCTGTCTTAAAAATTAAGGGTTATACTACTAAGTATTAATTGTGTAAGTATCACTTTTAAAAAATGCAAAACTAAGATGGATCTTACTATTAGTTTCATAACTTTTTTTTGTAATATAGATATTGTAATACTGTATTTACTAGTAAATTTTACATTAAATTACCTTCAACTTGATATATAAACGTTTGTATTTAATTGAAAATTAATATATTTTACAAGCACACAAAGTTGAAAAACAAGAAACTTTCAAAAAATGTCCACACTTTTGGCCTCCACTGTATATATATGAACCTTATAATGTTTCATTAATATTTTTAATCTAATTCCCAAATATAATCTTTTTGATATCAGTTAATATCTGCCACGAAAAGTATCTTGAATATATCATTACATCGAAACAATATTGAAAACATCCATATTCTGATTTTTGAGGTTTTGTTATTATGTGATAACGTTCACCTCCACAGAGCTCGGCTAATTCAAAATCCAATTCAAATAGAATGTGTTAATCTCTTCGAAGTCGCATAGCAACTCTTCATCGCCAATTTCTACCAAGAATCAACAAGATACGACCTCAAAGAGTTAATGAAGGAATGTTAACAAAAGCCTAAAAGTACAAGGTGAATATGCTGAAAAATACAGAACAGCTGTATGTAAATAAAAATGCTGTTATTGTGTTGGGATTTATTTACAACGACACGTATACTAGTTTTCGAATTTCGCTTGTATCTTCAAATATTTTCATAGGTTACAAAGTTGAGCCTCAAAACAATAAAATGCTAATGATTTTTCCTTATTCTTCATTGTACTAGAATAATAAATTCATGTTCCTGTTATTTTGACATATTTTAAAATATTTTTTCATTATTTTTATCAGACCTGATTCACTGCTATGGAATACCATGTATTTTAATCTTATTAGGCTTTCTATTTTAATATATTAATATAAATTTTCGGAATAATATTACAATTTGGAAATTAATATTTCATATTTTCTATGTTTATAAAGCTTAAAATTTCTAGGTATAGACATTTCATTATAATTACTTTTGTTCCGAAACTTACCGAGAATTTTTCAGTAAACAACTTGAAAAGTGATTTATTTTTAACAATACAATATCATTTTAAACGATCCAACTATTCCTCAGGGATGAAAAATTTATTTCTCAGAACAATAAACTTGTAATATTATATTCCATCAAAAGAAGCAGAATAAATGAGACTAAGGTTGAGTTTACGAAAATAAAATTCTTGGAAGTTCATAATTCTTGTAATCAGTAAAGAAATAAAAAGACGCCTTTTGAACAAAAGTTTTTTTAATCAATAAAAATATCATTTATTTTTTTAATTAAAAAAGTTTTTTTTGTTATTCAAGTGATTTAAGCATGAATACAATCTTGAATGGAATAAGTGCTTCGTAATGCAATGAATCCGTTTTTAATGTTGCTAACTGCTAACTTGAGTTATCAATCAAAAACTAGATAAAATGGGTGGTATGAGCTCCTCCTGCTGAACCACTTGATAATTTTTTAATCAACCAAAATGATAAAAATTCCTTATTTAACTTATAGTGCGCCAAAAAAACGGACTATCCGGAATAACTTTTGATCTAATGGTCGGATCTTCACGTTTTTAGAACTCAATCATAATGGCTAGAGGGGGTCACCTCAAATATGCTAATTAGTAAGTGCAGGCGATATTTTAAGTTACGAAATCAGACAGAAAAACGTACTTTCTCTGAATAAACATACCTTTTCTTCAAGGGATTCGGATTTCTGAGCCCCAAAATATAGGGGTTCGCAACAATCTGGAAAATATGGTCTCAATAGTTTGGTCAGGAGAGTGCTTCAAAGTTTCGACCCCTAAATGTTAATTTTGTTTTTTGCGCATTTTGCTGTATCTCGAGAACTTTTTAAACGAATTGAAAAATTTTTGCAAACAACTACAAAATTCGTTTGCTCAAAAATAACTTTTAGTAAATATTTAATATTTTTTATTATTTTATTTAATAATGGTCGAAGCAATTTTGAATAGTAAGGTGTGTAATTTTTGCATCATTTTAAAGAACATAATTTTGCTTGGTAAAATACAAAATCTGTGCAAAATTGGTAAAACAGTTCCTGGGAAATGGAATTTAAAAGTCAGTTATTTAAAATTCGGTTTCTCAGGAACTATTCGACCGATTTTGCTCAAATTTTGATTTTTGAAATTATGTTCTTTAAAATAATGCAAAAATTTGTATACCTTACATTTCTATATATTTTTTTGACCTTCATTAAAAAATATGTAAAATAATGAATTGCTACTAAAATTTAATTTTTGCATGGAATTATCTTTGATAAACGAATTTTATAATTGTGCTCAAAAATTATTCATTTCGCTTAAAATGTTCTCGAGATATGGGGAAATGCAGAAAAGTGAAATTAACATAAAGGTTGCCGAAATTCGGACCACTTTTCTGACTAAACTATTGGGACCATATTCCCCAATTGCGGCTATATTTTGAGGGTCGGAAATCCAAATCCGTCAAAAAAAGGTATGTTTATTAAGAGAAAGTACGTTTTTTGTGTTTGATTTTGTTATTTAAAATATTCTCTGTACTTAATAATTAGAGTTTTTGAGGTTGCCCTCTCGAACCATTAAGATTGAGTCCTAGAGCGTGAAAATCATTCGAGCAAAAAATATTCAGGGTGGTCCGTTTTTTATGCGCACTGTACGTCTTTCAAACCAGAACATTACTCCTAGATAAGACCCTATTTCTATCGGTATTTCTTTACATTCAAACGTATATATTTTTTTAATTTTTTTTTATTTTTGCTCTATTTAGAAAACCTATACTGTTGATTTTTCAAGCAGTCTGTGTCTTATAGATCCTATTTCATGTCCATATTTTTTTTTAAACAAGTAAGAGTGAAGTTCTCGCATTTTAAACCTTAACTAATATACTGTTGCCAGAATAACACACTCTCAGAAAAAAAAAAACTCTCCTTTTTGGCGATTCATCAATCCTTAAGCAGTATTTCGTTAATTTTGAGAATCATTTCGTCACAAAATAACGTGATTTGTGACAAAGCGCGAACTCACAAATATATGACGAAAATGTTTTTCACTTTGGGACCACAGCATAGTGCATTGTAGCAGCTTATTAACTGGAACAACGAAACTGGAATGAAGATTAGACTGTCCAAAATAAAGTGTCGAAGAAAGCCGATCAGTCTGTATGGTGGTCAAGGAGTTGTCCTAGTGCTATGAATATTTCGGATTCGAAGCCTATTTTGGGCATGTGTGCAATCTATCCCTCTGTTCTATCTGTCCTTCTTGCGTTGTTTGGGTGACATTGATATATGCTATATGATGCTCACGATAAAGAGATTATAAGTAAAGTTAGGTATGTTAGGTGCTACGATGGTTTTTTTTTTTACTTTTTTGAGGAAAAAAATAGAAGCACTAAAACAGTCATACAATACATGAAGCTCGAGCATTCAACTTCTCCATTTAGTCTCGAATATTCAAACATTCAATCATTACACAATTTCGTCTAAGTATATATCTTTGATGGCTCTGCATCCGAATTAAGCTTTATTCAATCTAAGGGTGCAATTTTTAATTAGTAACATAATTATTATTTACCGAACTCTCAGAGATTGTAAGTTAAGGAGACTCAAATGTTGTATCCCAATCAACGTTAAAATAGCTAAATGTTGCTTCCCGTTATTTAGGCCTTCTACCACCCCTTTTTAATGCGAAAGGCCTATCTTTTTACGAACATTTATTTTAAAGAGTAATTAACGGTGGTAATACTTGGATCAACAGTTACAATCTTATTTTACACGCATGACAGTTTTCTAACATGTACGTTTAAGTCAAAAAAAGTATGGAAATTAAGTTACCCCATAATATGGGGTAATTTGAGTCAGCAGTAAGAATTCATTCTTTGTTATTTGGTGTTGGGTACCTGAATACTAAAATGTTTATTAGGAAACGATTTTTACCAAAAATAAAAGAGTAAAGGGCATTTTGTTTCAATTACAGAGAGTACATATATGACGCAAAAAAACCAAACACGTCATGATTTTATATTTCTAGTTTCTGTAAAATAGTTTAAGCCACGATCAAAACTGTTTTCATTGTTAAAAATTGAAAAAAGGCAAACAACAGTAAATTTAAACATTACTTCTAAAATAATAAAAACGTAAATAGTACTTTTGATTAAAACGAGAAAACAAAGTAGAAAGGCAATGAATATTGAAGGAATTTGATTATTTTATTTCATGCTGTTTAGTGGTTGAACATTTTTCGCACCATAAGTCAAGGCAATTAATAAGTAATAAAAATGTAAAATACCAAAAAAAAAGTAAATGTAAACATTACTTTAGACTAAAATAATTAAAATGAAAACAGTAATTTTGACTAAAACGAAATAACTAAGAAGAAAGGAAATGAATATTAAATGAAATTTGAGGATTTTCTTTCTCTCTGTTAAGTTGTTGACAATTTGTTTTACATTTGAAATAATAACGTTTAGAATTTGAATAGATTTTTAAAATAGCATTTTCAAGGTTCTAAGCCACATTTATTGTCTGACTTAAGTTTACGTATTTTGAAGTGTTTTAACTTTTATTTTATTGAATCTTTTTATTGGTTTATTCTGGTTTGTTTGTTAGAGTTCTGACCTTTTCCCCTGAATAACTTTTATAACAAAAAAAACCTTTTCACACCATGCAATTTAAATATTCTTCGAAAGCTTGAATTGAATTTGAGATAGTTTTA